TAAACAATTACACAAGTGTAGGTCCCCCATGTGCAAAGAAATTGCATCATATCAAATTATCATAATAATAAATTTAACCGAGCATTTTCTGCAATTTTAGAGATGAAATTGTTATCAGATATATGTTTTATCTATATATCAAACTCAACATGTTTATTCAGGGACGGGGGCACCAGTGGCCCAGTCGTCTAAGGCGCCGCAATGCGCTGTTCCTAGGGCACGCCAAAAACCTATGATTGTGGGTTCGAATCCTGGATCGCCTCGATTATGTTCCTAGGTTTGTCAGCACCATACAGTGTTATTGGGTTTCTCCAAAGTGCTAAACTTCTAAGACCTGCATCACTTCGGGCTCATAACATATGAAGGTCGTGTCAATCAAACATGTACAGTTGCAGTTTCTTTACATTACTGAGATGCCCTGTTCAAAGTGCCGCTAAACCCCTTACTACCTCACTCACTTACTTTAAAATTGTACGTATTGTTCAACATACACATGTGTCATGCACAGTCTGAAATATCAATATTTGAGTTGATAAAGATTTAATTATAATATAAATATTAGGTTTAAGTATGCTCCAAAATAATGGTACCTGTTTTCCATATTCTTATTTATCATAGTGCAGTTTTATTGAAACACATAATTCAAACATACCTTATTTTTGTTAAGACTGTTGTGTACTGTGTTTAATTCGACTGGGAAGATTTACCAAAACGTAGACCGAGACCTAATCAAATTCAAATTTCAATTCATATTCTACCTGGAACTTGTTATATTCTATATTTATATTATGGTTAAATGTATGGTTATTTATATTCCACCTTTGAGATAATAGTTTGAAAGTGAAAGAAAATTGGACATTTGACTTTCCATTTGAAGACAATATTTGCTTAATCCGGCATCGAGCTTTCCTTGCCTCTGACATGGTTCATGTAAATAACATGCATGTAAAATTACATGAAAATATAATTTTACAATATAGACATATATGTATAAATCAATCAAGCCATAATTCAGTAATGAAAGTGAAAGATAGATGAATAGTACTTTAATAAATGTTTAATAATCGATTTATTAATTCGATATCATTAGCTCTATACTTCATATGTGGGAAGGGTATGTGTACATTAAGGTCTAAAACAAATGACTTTCAAGAATGAAATGGAATTAAGTTTCTATAAAATCAAAGTTTTTCAGAATTTACACAATACTTTCAACTTTTCTCACAGTGTTTCTTTGCCAAACTTTGACGCGAACATATAAAGAGAAATAGTTGTACGTGATACTTTCTGTTATTACAACAACATCAGCAACAACAACAACTACAACAACAGCAAGAAGAACAAATTAATAATTCTGTATTGCCTCTCTGACAGGTGGTCTATAGTTGGCATCGAACAATGGACCCGGCTATACTCTGGTTTCTTATGGTATTTTGGAACCAGCTTTGTCGCATGCACAGAAAACAGATCGATGAATGCTTCACAATTCATATGCATACAATTGGTGTAAGTTTACAGATATCAATATATCAATATGACCTTAAGGATGTTAATATTCATAATCATTTCTGTGTGGGAACTACAAAGATCACTATTCATTATCCCGAACAATACAACAAAATAAAACACGGACGGGGGTTCTTGTCAAGTGAGAGATCACCATTTGACATCGTAGAGCACATATACAGCACTGGTATAAGTACTGCAGACACGACACGTGTTTTCTGAGCGTGTGGTTCATGTTGGATACTTAGCTGTGTCAGATAGTAAACTCTGAAATTATGCCTTGGTATGTTTTATAATATCTTAAATAACATTTGATAAATAAAAAACGTCAACGTCAGAGAATAATCAGTCTCGAATTTCTGCCGAAACAAATTCCGTTGGGCGTAAAGAATGGCATTTAAAAACTAGAGCCTGTTGTCGTTGAAGATTACATATTTGGATGTGAATATGGAAAATGCATATTTTAGGAGGTCCAGGAAAGAAATTGTCCAATTGCAAAAATGATGTCGATATATTTAATATTTTCCTGATATGATAAACATCTTGACATCGTGTAGGGTAATATAATAAAGGATGCAATATTAATAATACTTATATTAATGTAGTTGGACGTTGTGGTTTGATATAACTCATAGAGCCCCTCCCGTTTTCCAAATACTTCCATACTCCACTCCCTCTTCCCCCTCCCGCTCCCCTCTCCCTCACTATAGCTCTCACCCCAGTCACATTCCTGCTCCCTTCCTCCATCCCCGCTCTCCTTTCCAGCACTCCATCTCTCACCCTACTCTCACCCACTAACCGCCTCCCATCCCCCATTCCCGCTACCCTGTCCCGCAATTCCCCACCCCACCCCCTCCTACACAAGAAAATAATGCTAAATAAACAAATACATAATATAAGAATAAAATGAAAATAAATGAAATGCATAATAAAACCCACTCAAATACCCACTTCTTATTCCTACTCCCAACTCAGCACCCAACCCTAATTCCACCTTCCACCCTCAGTACCGCACCCATCAACCCTCTCTTCCACTCCCCCCACTTCCACTGCCACCACCTACAATCATGACAAATGACAAGCGACGGCTGCTCATTAGACGAAAATGAAAGCAATGATGATGTATTGACTGGTCAATGTTTAGCGCCACAAACGTATAATATGGACAGTAACAGGTTGAACTCATAACAAGTTCCTTTAACAAATAACCACGAGCTGATTATTGAGGCCTTAGGTTCCCATATGTCCGCGTGACATCTGCCGATCAATTCGATATTAGCTGAAGAGTAACCAAACCATATTTAAACAAATAGTAAGATTTAGTACGAAGAAACAGATAGCAAGGACCAGCGGGTATGTAGCTTCAATTACCACACGAGGAATGTATATATTCGGCGTATATGTTACGGCGCTCTCGGTATTTTAAACTTGATCACACAATTCTCTCTCTATTTTATAGAACATTTATTCAAAGCATTTTTAAAGTCCACTGCTGGTATGGAGACATAAATCCAAAATCCATAAATATTTAAATACGGCAAGCAAAAATCTTAGGCGAAATATATGAGCAGCAAAGACGCGTAAGATTTTAAATGAAAGTAGTCATCTTTTTCATTCCGAATATCAGTTTCTAACTGCACACGCCGATGCTGAAAATAGACACGTCAGGCATTTATTATTCTTCAATTACTACATGTGTCATAGGTATCAGAAGGTATGTAACTTCAATTACCAAAAGTGTAATAGGTATCAGAAGGTATGTAACTTCAATTACTACGTGTAATAGGTATCAGTAGGTATGTAACTTCAATAACCAAAAGTGTAATAGGTATCAGAAGATATGTAACTTCAATTACTACATGTGTAACAGGTATCAGCAGGAATGTAACTTCAATTACTACAGTTGTCATAGAACCAACATATATGTAGCTTCATTTACTACATGTGCAATATATACCGGAGTGTATGTGGCCTCCTTTAAAATATGTGTAATATATACAAGCAGGTATGTAGCTTTAGTTACTACAAGTGTATAATTACAGTGGTTATGTAGCTTAAGATACTACAGCTATAATATATACGCTCAGGTATTTTGCTTCAGCTGCTATATAGATATAATACTACAGATACTACAGCTGGAATGATACATGTGTAATATTTACAAGCAGGCATGAAACCTCAGTTACCACGTCCGTAATAGATCCAGAAGATATGTAGCTTCATTTACTACATGTGTAATATATACAAACAGGTATGAAACCTCAGTTACTACGGGTGCAATATATACAAGCAGGTATGTAGCTTCATTTACTACAGGTGTAATAGATACCAGTAGGTATGTAGCTTTAGTTTCTACGGGTGTAATATACACAAGGAGGTATGAAACTTTAAAATATGTGTAATATATACAAGCAGGTATGTAGCTTTAGTTACTACAAGTGTATAAATACAGTGGTTATGTAGCTTAAGGTACTACAACTATAATAGATACGCTCAGGTATTTTGCTTCTGCTGCTATATAGCTATAGTACTACAGATACTATAGCTGTTATGATACATGTGTAATATATACAAGCAGGCATGAAACCTCAGTTACTACGGATGTAATAGATACCAGCAGGTATGTAACTTCAGTTACTACGGATGTAATAGATACCAGCAGGTATGAAACTTCAGTTACTACGGATGTAATATATACAAGCAGGTATGAAACCTCAGTTACTACGGATGTAATAGATACCAGCAGGTATGTAACTTCAGTTACTACGGGTGTAATAGATACCAGAAGATATGTAGCTTCATTTACTACAGGTATAACAGACACCGCCATACATGTTGCTTCTGTTACTGCAGATGTAATAGATGGAGCTTCAGGTACTACAGGTGTAAATCTGCAAGCATTTATGTAACTGAAGCATACCTAACCAAAATGTTCGAATCCCAGATTCGCCCAAATTAGGACCATTGGTGTGTCTGCACAATACACGTGCTCGTGAGTTCCACCGGCGTGGTAAATGCCCCGTCTGCAGCACTTCGGACTTTCCTCCCACATGCAACCGATAAGACGATATACCTAAAATACTGCGGCGTTATTCTGTTGAAATGCACCTTCCAGGAAAATAAATATAAACATATAGTAACCTGTGATAACACGAGTAACCAAAAACACTGTACACGTGTCTAACAGTTTTGAACTTAGAGTATGTATATATTACACGTGGTTACATTTGGTAGCTTAACATGACATTTGCCGATCAAGTCGACACTTATTCAAACTATATAAGGATCAACAAGTAGGATTTCTAACGCATAAACACATGAACTTCAATTACTGAGAGTGTAAAATATAACAACATGTAATTACAACAGGTGTGATATATACCAGCAGTTACTACAGGTGGAATAGATACCAGCATATACATGTATGTAGCTTCGGTTACTAATCTGTGACAAGGCCAGTAACAAAAGACACTGTACACATGCGTAACGGTTTTGAACGTTTTGTATGTATATACGAGGAAAAAGGCCAAATGTAAAATCAACTTACACGGAAAGTGGATTTGGATAGTAAATCATGTTAAAAGTTGCCCTCTCACCTTGTTACCAACAGTAAGCTGTAGCTTGTTCGTCGGCGGTTCTAACAACAGACGAGCAGCGGTCTCTTCCGTCCATACATAATGAGGTTGCTAACAATAAAGATCTTATCCATCGTGATGTTGGTGTTGGTCGCCGTGGTGATGTTGCTGTTGCGGCTTAATAGGACGGGTGCTACATCGAGGGCGGATACGTTGGCGGACACCGATTTGAAAACAAACATGGATCACGCCCTCGTACTCCCCTCTTTCGGCGTCGTAAACGTTATGGAAGAACACCATGAAGGTAGTAGACGATGTTGTAGGGATGAGGTGATGCTGTAGGGACGTGACTAGAGTAGACGATGTTGTAGTGATCAGGTGGTGACGTGGGGACGTGACTGAAGAGGACGATGTTGTAATGATTTTAAGGTGTTGTTTGGGACGTGACTGTAGGAGGCGATGTTGTAGTGATGAAGTGGTGGTGTGGGGACGTGACTAGAGCAGACGGTGTTGTAGTGAACAAGTGGTGGTGTGGGAAATTGACTGAAGGAGTTGATGTTGTAGTGATGAAGTGGTGGTGTGGGGACGTGACTAGAGCAGACGGTGTTGTAGTGAACAAGTGGTGGTGTGGGAAATTGACTGAAGGAGTTGATGTTGTAGTGATGAAGTGGTGGTGTGGGGACGTGACTAGAGCAGACGGTGTTGTAGTGAACAAGTGGTGGTGTGGGAAATTGACTGAAGGAGTTGATGTTGTAGTGATCAGGTGGTGGTGTGGGGACGTGACTGTAGGAGGCGATGTTGCACTGATCAGGTGGGCGTGACTGCAGAGGACGATGTTGTAGTGATGAGGTGGTGGTGTGGGGACGTGACTAGAGTAGACGATGTTGTAGTGAACAAGTGGTGGTGTGGGAAATTGACTGAAGGAGTTGATGTTGTAGTGATCAGGTGGTGGTGTGGGGACAGACTTGAGTAGACGATGTTGTAGTGAACAAGTGGTGGTGTGAGGATGTGACTGTAGGAGACTGTGTTATAGTGATGGTGTGCGGATGTGGTGGGGGCGTGACAGTAGCGGAATGTGTTTGTGTATGTTGCAGTACTGATGTACTGTGTGTATGTTGAAGTACTGATGTACTTTGTGTCTCTGTTACAGCCCTGATGTAAGTTGTGTGTGTCGGTTGCAGGTCTGATATACAGTTTGTGTCTAGCGTAGTACAGATGTTCTATGATTTAAACATATTTTATTCAGATTGAAATGGATTGGGAACAAGTTATCCAACTTAGGACTCCCTCTCCATGGTATTTACAAAGCTTGTACAGTAAATCATATACAAGAAAAACAGAAAAGAAGATGAGTGTAAAGATAACAAGAAATGTACAAAAGAGAGAGACTAGTATATGTACATTAAAGTGTTACCCAAATCTCTTTGTATGACTTATAAACATTTGCACTGCTTTAAAGATGTGTTGATTTTCGATAATGGACAAACATTCATTTCCGTTTAACATCAAATTTAAATCTAATTTAGCATTTTTGTTCACGGCGTTCTGTAAAATGTCCCGAATTATTATTAACATAGTTTTTCTTTGGTGGACGTACAATGGACACTTTAATAAATAATGATATGCGTTTTCACATGGATCACCACATTGACATATTGGATCACATGTTACCTCTATTCTGTATAAATCATAATTTAACTGGCTTTTCATGTATCTTAATCGAGTATGATAAATATTCAACTTTCTAACACCATAGGAAAAATATGGAGGTGCAATGACTTGCTCTTTTTGTATGTATGTCTTGAATTGGGATGTAGATGTACAATTTCTACCTGCTGCAGGAATTGTGTTCCATAACCTTACAGTTGATGGAATAAAAGAACACGTTGAGTGTTTTAAACTAGTATATGGAATCCCAATATTGTCTGAAATTCTTAAATTATATGATATATTTGAACCTACAGTGGTTGGTACAATGTCTTTAAGGTAAGTTGGGGCAATATTACTTTGTATTTTGTAGAACAAACATAGCTTGCGTTTCCTTCTTCGTTCTATTAACGTTTCCTATCCTGTTTCATAATACAGATGTGTGTGCGAAGTATACTTTGGGAGCCCAGTAACTACTCTGGCAGCTTCTAGTTGGAGATTTTCTAACTGAGTTGATAATTCTATATTACACCCATCCCACACTTCACACGCATATTCGAAATGGGGTCTTATGAAGATTGTATATACTTTATTTAGTGTATTTCTGTTCAATATGAATTTTAATTTTCTCATTGAATTTATCATTTTTGTTGTTGACTTAATTATGTTATCTACGTGACAGGACCATTTTCCGTTTGATGCAAACGTTATACCCAAATGTTTATGATTTTGAACATTCTTAACTTTACATTCATCAAAGTACAAGGTAATGAGGTCTGATTCATCTTTTAAGGAAAATATAACCGCTTCTGTTTTATCTGGGTTGTATTTAATTAACCAGCGTTTTGCCCAGTTACACAGCTTGCTCAGATTTAAATTTAGAGTTGATTCAACAAGTTGATTGTCTGGTGAAGAAAAGCCGAGTGCTGTATCGTCAGCAAAGAGTCTTGTTATGCAATCTAATTCATCAGCAATGTCGTTAACAAACACAATGAATAAAAAGGGACCTAACACCGACCCCTGTGGAACGCCAGCCTTCAAAATCCTTGGCTTGGATAGAGCCCCGCTTACAAACACTGATTGAGTACGATTGCTTATGTAACTGGACAGCCATTCAAGTAAATTCCCTTTTATACCATACATTTCTAATTTGTACATAAGCCCTCTATGCCAGACACGATCAAATGCTTTTGACACATCGCAAAAAACCATGCAATATTTTTCTCTATTATCTAAAGATATACAAATTTGATTATACAATTCAATTAATTGATGGACAGTGGAATGGCTTTTTTGAAAGCCCGACTGGTATTTATATAACAATTTATTGTCATGAAAGTAGTTATAAAGATGCTTAAATACAACTCTTTCAAATACTTTACCAATACAACTAATGAGTGATATTGGTCTGTAATTTGTCACAACTGAATGATCTCCTTTCTTATACAATGGCATGATATGCGCTCTTTTCCATTCTGTTGGATATGCATTTAAAGCCAATGAATGATTGAATAACATACATAAAACAATACTAATGCTGTTTACTGTTTTCTTTAATAGGTTGTTACTTATTCTGTCCGGACCAGATGCCTTGTTAATTTGAAGACATTTTATAACGTCAGATATTTCCTTTTCTGAGACATTTAATTTGTCAAAAATACTCTTAGTGCGTTGATTGAAATCTGATAATTCTTCCCGTTCTTCTGTTAGGGTAGATATGGATTGGAAATATTCATTTAATCACTGATGTTCTATGTGAGTTATGATGTACTGTGTGAGTACGTTAGATCACTGATGTACTTTTTGTGTCTTTTGCAGCTTTGATGTACTGGTTCTCGGCCGCAGCTAGTGGGGCAATTAAGAAGCAAGGGAACGTTCTGGTAATCGAACCTATTTGTTATTCGAACATAGTTGACTATTAAGCGCAATCGGCTTGATGGATGTAAACTTACTTTTTATTACACGCATTAAAGTTGTGACCAACTCCATACTGATTATGATAGTAACATCATATTATTATTCTATATCCAGTAGGCAAAAGAATTTTGGGCGGTGTTCTTTTTTAGAGGAAACAAATGACTGAAAATGTCGCTAAAGGTAGTGAGTGAATTTGGTTTAATGCCTCTTTGAACAGTATTTCAGTTATGTAGCGGCGTGTCCGCTCTATGTGGGAGACCAACCAGAAGGGCTTTCAAACGCGAGCACGGGTATGGCGCTGACAAACCTAGAAACATAACCAGGGCGAACTAGTATTCGAATCCAAGTCCACAGAAATTTGGGCGCCTTAGACAACTTGTAAATGGATAGCGAGGTCCCACTTGTAAACGAATGACGTAGTCATAATTATAATTGCTACTCGGTACTGCGTGTATCTACAGATCTGACTCTCCTCGGCAGATTCACATAGACGGTCACTCAGACGCCGCCCAACCAGAGTATTGGAGGAAGATGCCTCTCTTTCGGTTACCTACCAACCAGAGGGAGGTGAAGCTAATGATGGAGAGGAACGACGTCTTTATTCATGTAAATTACCCAAATTAGTCTCTTGTAGTGGTTGGGGTTTTAACCTGTAGTCAGTATTCCAGTGATATCACTGATCACGGACCGGACAAACCCGTGGATACAACCTGGATATTGATTGTTTGAATTTACTTTCAGTCATGTTTCAATGCGTACATATTTTCTCTACAAAGCCACAATACATTTGTTCTGAAACGTTTTGTAATTCCTGAGTACAAGTTACTTTTTTATTTTTGTTCAATAAAAATCCCACTTTTACAACAAACCCACCACCCCGCCCCAAAATATCAATGAATGAACGTCTTCGACATATTTCCAGGTCGCTGCTGCCACAGGGTTGATCAATCGTTTCATCTGGGTTTGGCCCCCGTATGACGCTGGAGGCTTCCTCCACGAAACGAACGCCCCCTACGTGTCTGTTCGACTGAAAATCGGCGTAATGTACAGATATGGGGAGACTGATGGTGACAGATACATACTGGAACGCTGTGTTTGCGCAGAATCTGACCACTTCACGATAGACAACCCATGTGCCTGGATTGATGCAGATGTTGAAAATGATTCTGAGGATTATGTTTTTATACCTGAGTCTAGATGTATGGATATGTCCCTAAAGGGCACGGTGGAGATCGTGAGTACAGACAAGGCTATAGAGCTGGCAAAATCAGGCAGATGGATCACGGCGAGTGACAGCGTCATCGTGGACATTGACGAGGACTACTACGCATGTGAAGCTGTGTCCGCTCCTCTGTACGATGCCGGGATGAGTAAGGCTCAAATCTATCACATATCATTCAGTGTAGGGAAGCTTATGTGTGTTGACAATGCTCACGATGAAATGCTGGCTGATAAATTCTTTCATGACCTGTTAAAGATCACACTCACACAACACAAGCTCTGTGGCAGCGGGAGAGCCAAAGATGACAGATCATGTTCTGACTCCCTTTCTATGAGGAATACAATTATTGATAAACTCCACAATGTACTGGAAAAGGCTAGGCATGTTATGTGCCTGCCTAACGAATCTACCTATTTTATACTTGGTCGTCTACTCGACGACCTCCTTTACCTTGATGAGCGTCAGTTGGAGGAACTTATCACTGTTGGCGTGTGTATGAACCAGTCCCCAAGGAGTACAGGCTTCAACCGAAATGATGGCATGGTTCTATGCCAGGGTTACAATGGGCCTAATACAACGCTCATCCCATACCACAACGTTGACGAGAAGGAGATTGACCACACCACCAACCATCTCAAGACTATCCTCTCACAGTCATTCACTCCTGGTGTGGTGACTCTCATCCGTTCTGTACGGGATGGTTATACTCCGAGGAAACATTTCCACATTATTGAGCCTAAAATTCTCAATGTTTTGAAAACCACGTTCCCAAACCATATAAACGACAGTAGCATACACTATGACTCGGAGCTGCTTGGAGGAAAAGATGGGTGGTATTTGAGATACAAGAAAATTAAGTCTTAATTATATGTGTAAGTAAATATGCAAATAGTGCAGGACCTTACCCATTTATATGTATATGTCTTTAGTTTTCGTCTTAGAAAAAGATTTTCCGTCACTGCTCCAAGAATGTAGGAGCTTCCGGAAACAATTTCAAATTAAATTTCCAGCGAACATTCGTTTTGTGTTAAACCTGAGGCAACATTTCTACTATTTACTGGAACAATTTATATATTCTTCCCAGTGTCAATGAATGTCAAATGGTCGGTCCCTAAGGCCTGTGGCCTATGTCAGATCTTTAAGAGCAGTGTAAAGAACAATTTCTGAAACAAACATCAATCCAGATCAAATGTATGGATTGATTTTCGAAGGTGCCTGAAAAATCATTTAATCTGCAATTGATTTAAATAAGCACATATATGTAGGCAGAGACCATATACTAGAGGGAATATGGTCTTTGATGTAGGCTACATTACCAAATAAAAAATATTAAATTTAGAAAATAACTGGCTGTCGTATTGTTTTGGTAAAGGAAAACCGTGATTTGATAATCAAGAAAATCAATAACCCAATTGCAAGAATGTTTAGGCGATGTTGTATGTGAGATTTGGAATGTTGGTTTCATAACACATATTACTTTGACCGCGCCCTTACATAACTCTCTACATATATTGTTGCACGTTGATTCCGAAATTATAACAATATGTCAACTCAGACATTTGCCTATAAACGAATTTAGTGTGAAACCAACAAACAAACAACAAATGGCATACAATCAACAATTGCATTAAACTATTAACTATGTTGATAAATCAATACAAATTACTGCACAGCAATCACATTGGCAGTATGCGGTAGTGGTAGTACAATATTCAAAGGCAGTATCAAATATAATATTATCATCAATAACATTCATCTATCCACAACAGTGGTCAAGCTTCCACAATACATGCAATACACCAAAACAGCTCATGTCACACTCAAACAGCTCATGACACACACTCAAACTCATGCAATACACACAAACAGTTCATGTCACACTCAAACAACTCATGGCATACACTTAAGCAGCTCAGGCTATACACGCAAACAAATCATGTCATACACTCAAACAGATGTTGTCATACACTCAACCACATCATGTCATACACTCAAACAGGTCATGTCATGCACTCAAACAGATGATGTCATACACTCAACCACATCATGTCATACACTCAAACAGGTCATGTCATGCACTCAAATAGCTCATGCCACACACTCAAACGCATGCAATACTCGGAAACAACGCATTTCACACTCAAACAACACATGTCATACACTCAAATAAATAATTCAGGTGTTATGTTCTGACTGTTGACATGATGGGGTGTGTTTTAAGAAGCTCGTGTAGACAATGAAACGTAACAGTGGCATGGTAAAGCTACCGTTACGTGCGAACATAGCGGGAGTGAACCAATGAAACTGGTGACGTCTAGGATTGCAGAACTTCCGGCTTCCCTTCCATATTAAGTTAAAACGTCGTGAAATAACTGAAATTTGTGATTGTCAAACACGACAGATAAGGCCGTTCTATTTGTTTACTAAGAAGATCACTTCAATGACGGCTTCAGGCACTTTATTTCACAATCATGCTTAGAAACGAAAACAAATAATGCCGCTTAATTATATATATTATTATTTCGATTTTGATATTTACATTCGCATTTGTTCAATATCGAAATATTTTAAGTTCATATATTAAGTCCACTCTTCTGAACGATGGGTAAATACCCAACCAAGCTAACGTGGCATATACATGTAAACCGATCGTAAACATGAGGAATAAGAAAGTGTCATTTCTGTACATTGTGAAAGAGAAACGTGGTTATATATATATATATTCCCGGGATAAAATTTAAAAAATTGCAAACCGGACAGAATCACAGTGTCAGTAGTATTAGTATTAAAATTCTCTTCCAGCAATTGTATTCTCTATTTGTGACGTAATTGTATAGATTGAATAAACACTTGTGTAGGCACAGTGGCTATGTAATTACCTCGGGAACATAGAGTGCCAGTATAATAAGATTGTTAATTCAAGTTTGTCGGAGCATGTTGCTGCTTCCTGATGAGATGGTGGTTTATAACAGGTACGTTACGATGTTGTTCGGTGTGTTAAACACGAATTCTACCATGAATTTTGAAAATACTCGACTCTGGTTAGTCAATAGGATATAAATGACAATAATCCCCTCTAATTGAAACAGCTGATTTGACCACCGCATCACCGCGGAAGTTTTAAAAAAATTCTCAGTCATTGTCTGTAGTCATTTGAAATTTTATAATTCTATGTGCAATCATAGATTCACCTCCTCACAATGAGGTCATAATAGTGACGTGCGATGGAGGATTGTTTACTGCACAACATTGTATATAATACAGAGCCGTCAATAGTGCAGCTGTCTTTAAGTAGTTCAACGAACGAACAATGTACAATAAGAAACTATTGGACATGTCTACGAGAACTTCAAAACAGGATGTCAATAACCTAAATAGACTGAGACTGCCACGACACATCCACACGAACGGTATTACTAAGGTGAGTTTAAATATATCATTGTTATTAATGTGACCGTTTTTACCTTATCTGCAGCATATGACTATTTTATGGCATTAGATTTATATGAACATAATACATGAATAAATCCAAAATACAACGTTATCTATTCACACCAGGCAAAAGAGATTTGTATAAACTACATTGAACAACCTCGAAGAAATAATGGTGTTACAACTAAGTCTTAATATCATGTATGTAGCATTCTCCGAAATATGTCACTACTTTATAATATTTGTAGGTTTCTCCGAAATATGTAACTACTTTATGTTATGTTCAACATTCTCCGAAATATATAAGTACTTTATCTCATGTGTATCATTACCCGAAATATGTAAGTACTTAATCTTATGTGTAGCATTCCCCGAAATATATAAGTACTTTATCTTATGTGAAGCATTCTCTAAAATATATAAGTACGTTATCTTATGTGTAGCATTCCCCGAAATATATAAGTACTTTATCTTAATTATGTGTAGCATTCCCCGAAATATATAAGTACGTTATCATATGCTCAGCATTCCCCGAAATATATAAGTACTTTATCTTAATTATGTGTAGCATTCCCCGAAATATATAACTACTTTATCATATGCTCAGCATTCCCCGAAATATATCAGCACTTTATCTTATGTGTAGTATTCCCCGAAATATATAAGTACTTTATCTTGTGTGAAGCATTCTCTAAAATATATAAGTACGTTATCTTATGTGTAGAATTCCCCGAAATATATAAGTACTTCATCTTAATTATGTGTATCATTCCCCGAAATATATAAGTACTTTATCTTATGTGCAGCATTCCTCGACATATCTAACTACTTTATCTTATGCTCAGATAGCTCTCTGTTTACATTCCAAGCTACATCCACTCCTCAACATAGTCAGAGGAGCAATGCATCCAAATAGGAATACGGCAAACCCAAGTCATTAAGAAATCAGGCCCAAATAGATACTGCACTGACATCAAACTGTCTACGGTCACCAGTATGTACATGGAACATAGAAGGTCTGCGAAGTGTATTAGATGATACTGGTTTTCTTGACTATTGCTCCTTTAGGCTTTTACCACAAAATACTGTAGGCAACAGAATGGAGAGTAAGCATATACCTGTTATCTTTTATAAGCTGTGGTAAAGGATACCGTACCAGTAGAATGTATACCATGTCCTGTCAAGTATAGATGGAATACGTTGCATGTTGACACGTTTATAGCCAAATTATTGCCCTAAAAGATTTTGTAACAGACCGTGTTATTGTTGTCGACAAAGATGTTAACGAAGTCTTAGATTATTTTTTTTTGTCGTAAAATACTTGAATCAGCAAAATGTATGAAAGAGAAAGTTCGTAATCCCAGAATGTTTGATTTTTCATGAGAGCTAAGAAGGAAGTCAAGAGTAGTTATCACACTTCAAAAATTGCAAGAGTTCTATTTGCAGAATATGATATTGTAAATTGAGAAACAAATACATGAGCGCCAAGTGAAAATTGGGCAAAAGTTATATGAAACTAGAACAAATGCAGCAGCTTTTCGAAAGAGTTATATAACTATTTCACATACAAGGAAAATTTCTAGTAATATCAAAGCGATATTTTCAGCTATATTTTTTAACAGCTTAAAAACTATTACTTTAGAAAAAGAAACTGAAACTGACAGACCTCTACAGATCAGTGAGATTGAAGAGCCTATATTAGAATCTTCCATATACAGCATATATAATAGTTAAAGAAAGAAATAACGCTATTGCTCTCATAAAAAAATGAAAAATGTTTATGTAAAAAGTAGAAGAAATGTATGCTGCATTCATTGGTGTTAACAAAGGCTTTTGATTTTGCAATCGAGCACAGCTATGGAAATTATTGTCTTCCTACATGTATGGCTAAAATGGTAAAATAAAAGTGTATACCGATCAGTTAAAGCATTTGTTGCATGCAATACAGATTTCACGGATTATTTTGATTGTCCATTTTGTTTAAGACAAGGGTGTATGCTAAGCCCTATGTTATTTTCACTATTTGCTTAACATGTTTTTGAAATCGATTTATGCATGAGAAACTTTCCTTTTATGTAATAGAGGATGAATTTCACGTTGTACTTGAGTCGTTCCGGGTAATATCCGCCCATTTTCGGACGCCATGTAACACGCAATCTTTATGAGTAGGAGGAAACACAATATTTGACATTAGCCAATGAAAGACGAGATACTTATTCAACATTACCGCTTAGTCATAAAGCGTCATCTGCAATAGCTACACAAGGGCATGTAATCGAGTTGGTCATGTAACAAGCAATGACGCTCCGTTTCTGCTAAATCCCCTCACCCTGGCGTGTATTTCCACTCATACTTGTAATAATAAATTGTGATTTGACGTCGTCACATGACAATCTGCCTAACAATTAATATTTGTGAATGGTTATACATGTACAACATTTTGGAGGTAATAAATAATTATTTTGAAAGTTCTTGTGTGGGAACCGTGTTTGTATTAGACTAGTAGATGCTCAACGATTTATTAATACAAAACTAGTGTACTAGTTACGTATGTAACCAATGATATCTCGATAAATCTGTTCTCGTTAACTTGCCTAATTTATGTAATGTGAAATAATTCGAAAGAAATGATGATTAAAGAAAATTAAAGAAGTTAAACCTTTCACGTTGTAATAATGCGCGACAAATAATATTATTGATTATCCAAATTTCCCGACACCAAAGTTCTGTGCTGAATTGGCAATTATCAATATGATAGGAAGTTTTTGCAGTATCATTATATTGAATATCACATGAAAACTGGGGCGTTCGGGTAGCCTTGTGGTTAAAGCTTTCGCTCGTCACGCCGAAAACCCGGGTTCGCTTCCTGACATGGGTACAATGGATGAAGCCCATTTTTGGTGTACCCCGCAGTGATATTGCTGAAATATTGCT